GCCAAACCAATTCTTAGGAAGGAGAGGGAGGCAGGGGGCATCACTATATCAGACCTTAAATTATACTTCAGAGCAATAGTAACAAAAACAGCATAGTACTGGCAAAAAAATAGACATGTAGATCAATGGTGTAGAATAGAGGACACAGAGACAAACCCACATAAATACAGTTATCTCATACTAGACAAAGGTACCAAAAACATACATTGGAGAAAAGATAGCCTCTTCAACAAATGGAGCTAGGAAAACTGAAAATCCATATTTGGCATAATAAAATTAAGTGCCTATCTCTCACCATGCACTGAACTCAAAATGGATCAAAGACCTAGGAATTAAACCAGAGACACTGCACCTAAGAGAAGAAAAATTAGGTCCAGATATTCATCATATTGGATTAGGCCCCAATATTCTTCAATAGTATAAGTATTAAAACCAATAATCAGTAAGTGTATGGATTCAAACTGAACAGCTTCTCAGCAAAAGAAACAATCAATGAGGTGAAAAGACAGCCTACATCCTGGGAGCAAATTCTTACCACACACACGTCAGATACAGCACTCATCTCTATGGTATATGAAATACTCAATCTTAACATACACACATACACACACACACACACAAACACACACACACACACACACACACACAAATTAACCCAATCAATAAGTGGGCGAAGGAACTGAACAAGCACTTCTCAGAATATGATATACAATTGAGCAATAAATATATATGAAAAAGTTCAACATAGCAATTAGAGGAATGCAAATCAAAACTAAGATTTCATCTCACTCCAGCCAGAATGCCAGCTATTATGCATATAAACAACAGTGTTAGTGAGGATGTGGGGGAAAAGACACACTCATACACTGCTGGTGGGACTGCAAATTGGTGCAGCCAATATGAAAAGCAGTATGAAGGTTCCTTGGAAATCTAGGAATAGAACCACCATTTGACCCAGGTATTCCTCTCATCAGTTTATACCCAAAGAACTTTAAAACAGCATACTTCAGGGACATAGCCAGGTCAATGTTTATAGCAGCACAATTCACAATAGGCAAACTGTGGAGCCAACCTAGATGCCTTTCAATGGATGAATGGATAAAAAAAATGTGACATACATACACAATGGAATTATTACTCAGCAATAAAAGAGAATAAAAACATGGTATTTGCCAGTAAATGGATGGAGTTAGAGAATATTATGTTAAGTGAAGTTAGCCAATCCCCCCCCAAAAAAAACAAGTACCAAATATTTTCTGATATATGGGGGGTGACTCACAGTGGGATAGAGAAGGAGAGCATGGGAGGATTAGATTAATTCTAGATAGGAAAGAGGGAGGAAAATGGAGGGGGAAGGGGATTAGGAAGGATGGTGGAATATGATCAATATCATTATTCAAAAACACATGTATGAAGATTTGAATTTGGTATCAGCATACCTTATATACAAACAGATATGAAAATTTGTGTTATATATGTATTAAGAGTTGTAATGCAGAAAGAAATTAGTACATGTATAATGGCATAAATTAGCATGAATTTACTTTATATATAGATATGAAAAATTGTGCTGTATGTGTGTAATAAGGATTGTAATGCATTCCACTGTTGTATATTTTTTTAAAAAATAAATTTTTAAAAAAGAAAGGTATTGGAACCTGTTGGGGACACTATAATCCTACAGGGTAAAAATGTAACACCTTGAAAACACAGATGGAAGGGAAGATGCATGAGCAACATGAAAAACCAAGAAGAATGTGCCCAAACAATGATGCTACATTATTTGAATCCAGGGACAGAACAGTAGAAGAAATGACAGAAGGAGTAGAGGAGGTACATAATTTTCTGTGAATTAAAGGATGATGTAAGAGAGCAAATACAGGCAGCAAAGGAACATTTTGATAAAGAGCTACATAAGCAAATACAGAAAGCAAAAGAGATAAGGAGATACAGATTCTGAAAAAAACAAATAGATTTTTGAAATGAAGGAAAGAGTAAACCAAATTAAGAACACAATAGGAAGCATCTCCAACAGAATAGATCACTTGGAAGACAGAACCTCCGACACTGAAAGAAAAATATATAATCTTGAAAAATAAAGTTGACCCAGTGAAGATTGTAAGAAACCATGAGCAGAACATTCAAGAATTATGAAATAACATGAAAAAAAACAAATTTAACAACTATTGGGACAGAGGAAGGCATAGAGGTCCAAACTACAGAAATGGACAATATTTTCAAAGAAATAATATGAGAAAAATTTCCAAACATGAAGACTGAATTGTAAAATCAAATACAAGAAGTTTACAGGATGTCAAATGAACAAAAATCACAACAGATCCACACCAAGGCACATCATAATGAAAACACCTAGGAAACAGGAAAAGCAGAGTATTTTAAAAGCCATAAGAGAAAGGAATCAGATTATATATGGAGGAAACAAATCAGGATCTCTGATTTCTCAACTGAGACCCTGAAATCTACAAGATCCTGCAACAACATACACCAAGTCCTGAAAGAAACAGATGCCCACCAAGAATCATACCCAGCAAAATTAAATTTTGATTAGCAATTAGATTTCAATTTAGATATTATATTTATGAAAAAATAAAAACCTTCCATGATACACAAAAGTTAAAAGAATTTAAATCTAGAAACCTGCACTACAGAACATCCTTGAGGAGGAAATAAACAATTACAAAGTAAGAAAAGGGAAGTATCACTCTAAAGAAAAATCCTATCAAAGAGAAACCAAGTCAAGTTAAATATCAAAAATAAACAAAAATAACTGGGAATACACATCATGTCTCGATAGTAACCCTGACTGCTAATTTCCAAAACTCACAATCAAAAGACAGATGGCAGATTGGATTTAAAAAAAAAAAAGAAAAGACTCAACAATACTCTGCCTTCCAGAAACTTATTTCATAAGAAAAGACACCCACAGAGTGAAGGTGACAAGTTGGAAAAAAAATATATCACTCAGGCTGGAGCTCAGGGGTAGAGCACTCACCTAGCATGTGTGAGGCCCTGGGTTTGATCCTCAGCACCACATAAAAATAAATAGTATTGTGTCCATCTTTAAAAAATAAATATTAAAAAACATACCAATCACATGGACTGTGGAAGCAAGCAGGGGTTTCCATCCTTATATTAAATAATGTAGACTTCAAGTGAAAGTTAATCAGAAGAGATAAAGGAGGACCTTCTATACTGCTTAAGGGAACCATACACCAACAAGACAGAACAATTACAAATATTTATGCCCCAAATAATGTAGCGACTATATTCAAACAGACTCTTCTCAAGTTCAAGGGCCAAGTAGACCACAAGACAATAATTCTGGGTGACTTTAAACACCTCTTTTACCACTGGATAAATCTTCCAAACAGAAGCCAAACAGAAACTGTAGAACTCAGTAATACAATCAATAACTTAGATTTAACTGACATACATAGAATATTTCATCTTTCAACAGGCAAAGATACTTTCTTCTTAGCAAATGGATCCTTCTCTAAAATAGACCATATATTATGCCAAAAAACAACTCTAAGCAAATACAGAAAAATAGAGATACTACCCTGCATTCTATCAGATCATAATGGAATGAAATTATATATCAATGATAAAAATAGAAGCTACTCCTATACCTGGAGAATGAACAAATGTTTGCAGAAAACATCAAAGAGGCGATTTAAAATTCTTAGTGGTGAATGAGAACACAGATACTTTTTGTCAAAATCTCTGAAATACTATGAAGGCATTACTAAGAAGAATGTTCATTGCATGGGGTTCATAACTTAAAAAAAGAAAAAAGTCAAAAAAGGACCTAAAATGATATCTCAAAGCCCAGGAAAAAAATGAATCAACACCAAAAGCAGTAAAGGACAGAAAACAATTAAAATCAGAGATGAAATCAAAGGAACTGAAACAAAAGAAGCAATTAAAAATTGACAAAGTGACTGGGAATGGAACCACCATTTGACCCAGCTATCCCACTCCCTACTCTATACCCAAAGGACTTAAAAACACCATACTACAGGGACATAGCCACAATGTTTTTAGCAGCACAATTCACAATAGCCAAACTGTGGAGCCAAATTAGATGCCCTTCAGTGGATGAATGGATAAAGAAAATGTGGCATATATACACAATGGAATATTACTCAGCATTAAAAAAGAACAAAATCATGGCATTTGTGGGTAAATGGATGGCATTGGAGAAGATAATGCTAAGTGAATTTAGCCAATCCCCCCTAAAAAAAAAATGCCGAATGTTTTCTCTTATATAAGGAGGCTTACTATAGTAGGGTAGGGAGGGGGAGCATGAGAGGAATAGATGAATTCTAGATAGGGAAGAGGAGAGGGAGGGATAGGGAGGGGCAAGGGATTAGCAAGGATCATGGAATGTGATGGACACCATTATCCAAAGTACATGTATGAAGACTTGAATTGGGGGTCAACATACATTATATACAGCAATACAAAAATTGATATATATGTGTATTAAGAATTGAAATGCAAAAAGTACATGTATAGTGGCATAAACTGATGTGAACATACTTTATATACAGAGATATGAAAAACTGTGCTCTATGTGTAATAAGAATTATAATGCATTCCACTGTTGTCATGTATTTAAAAAAAATAAAAAAATATAAAAACCTAAAAAAAATAAATTATGACCTAAAAATATCGAGAGACAGAGACAGAAAGAGAGAGAGAGAGAGAGAGAGAGAGAGAGAGAGAGAAGGAGAGAAAAAGAGAAACAGAGAGAGAAAGAAAGAAAGAGAGACAGAGCCAGACAGAGACAGAGACAGACACGGAAAGAGAAAGACAGAGACACAGAGAGAGAGAAAGAGAAAGAGAGAAAAAGAGTGTGTGAGAGAGAGATAAAGAAAGAAAGAAAGAAAGAAAGAAGAAAGAAAGAAAGAAAGAAAGAAAGAAAGAAAGAAAGAAAGAAAGAAATTGTGAGACAGAATACATGTGGTGCTACACACCTCATATATCCAGTGGTCTGGAAGCTGAGGCGGGGGAATCACAATTGTGAAGCTGACCCCAGCAACCGAGTGAAATCCTGCCTAAATTAAAAAAAAAATAGGTAGTAGTAATTTTAAAAAATTAAGACAAAATTTAAAAATTCAAATTTTTAAATAAAAATTTTAAAAGGGCTGAGGGTATAGTTCAGTAATAGGACACCCTGGTTCCAACCACCCATTTTACAAAAGGAAAACAAGAACAGAAAAAAAGTCATTTTTTCCAAAGTTACAGGGGAAAAATTAGTTTTAAATTTATAAGTTGTATTGAAAACAAAAACTCTATTCCTCAAATGATGCCATTAAAGAGTACAAGGATAAGTGACAGATGAAAGAAAACAATTTCCTCACCTTTAACCAAACTCTTCTAAGAAAGTAGTACAGAGACTTGAGAGAAATGCAGGCAAGAGCCGTGAACAGATCCTTCAAATAGCAGGTATCTAAATGTCCCATCATCACAAAGCAATCAACGTCTTTAGAAAGGAGGGATTGTACAATAAAGTCACATTGTACACACAAATTGAGACAGTGTTGAAGAACATGTGATTATCATGAAGGTCCACAGAAACAGATGTGGACACTACAGCACCTGTTCATATGGGAACACGGCGTGCTCCTCCAGAGCTGAGACCCAGGGCCTGGTGACAGAGGATGTCCATTGGGAATAGATAAATAGGAAACTATGGAAAATAACCATTTCTGACAATCAGTCACATTTTCTTTGCCATATTGCATACAGTTTGACAAATACTATGAAACCCTCTGTCAGTTTTATATTGATATTATATACATATCACATTTCACATATAAGTGTACTTAAATAGTACGTCTGCAGAATTTGAAGAAATGCAAATACAGATCAGCACATAAAAGACTGAATGATAAAATCCCTCCTTATAAAGACGGCCGCATCCCTCAGGTTCATCTAGGATAACACACCATCAAAATTTTACCATGATTTCCTTTTCATTGAAGAAGGGACCAAAGCAAACAGTTTGAAAAGTCTCCTGGAAGGTTAAATCGAAATGAAATTATCCAAAAATTTTGAACTGGGATTCCACCTCTTGGGGCCCCTTCTTCCTCTGGGAGAAGTCTTTTCTGATGTCCTTTAATAAACTTCTAATTTCTACTCTGAAAAAAAAAATTTGAACTGTAAGAGCAGAAGCTGGAGCTATTATTACCAGGCACTAATGTATGTTATAAAATTATCATATTGCAATAATTTAGGACCAAAAAAATAACAATGAAGAAATTTTATAGATGACTCTACATGTATTTAAATGTCATTTTTCTTATTAAGTGCAATGAAAAGTCCTAGATAAATGCAATTATCTCCAGCAGAGGACTTGATGTGAATGAACAAGACAACCCAATGTGAAGGGAGGTGTGAAAACTGGAGGCACAGAGCACTGGTATGGCTTGGGTGCAGGACATGTGTGGTACTGGATTATAATCCCGCACCCTGAAAAAGCACGTAGTGTGTAGGATTATGTTTCAAAATTATACCAGAATAGGAGGCTCCTGGATTCTCTCCACACATGTATATACCAAATAAATACTTCTGTTTTGAGTCCCTCTTAAATAAAGTTATACCTGGATTGAGAGACCTATGCATTGGACCACTGAGAAAATATCTACCATCCGAAGGGCAGGCAAAGTTGGGGGACACTTGGGCATTAGTCCTGACTTGAGCAATGTGGCACATAATTGGGACAGAATACCCCAATTCAGTGTCACCCAGGGTAGAGGAAGACTGCTTGGGGTCACAAATGGAGCACAGTGGACACTAAATGACGTGTAGCTGGAAACACAATTTGTCTGGTGCTCATAGAAGAAAGAGCTGGATATACACGAGTATCAGGATGAGATAAAAGGGGTGGTTTTCTATGGCTGTGGTGGGTCATGAGCTTTATCCATGGGAGCAGAAGGGGAGTGAGATCAAGGGTCCCAGTTTATCCCTAGAAGGGATTTGCCAGCATGATCTGCAAACTGTCCTTGCTAACAGTCAAGCTCCTCTTTAGCCAGTCCCTGAAGGTAGACAGGACAAATGCAGTCCACCCAGCAGCCCTGCCTGAGCCCTCTCCCCCCTACCTCAGCAATAACTCCAGGCCTGACCAGTTCTTTCTGAAAGGAGTATGTCCAAGCACTCAGAGTCCCAACATTTTTCCCCATCCCATGGACTCCATCCTAACTCACCAAGCTTTGGGAGCAATGGCAACTGTGCATGTGCAAATCTCCCTGGGTCCCAAAGGGGAAGGGCTTCACATTGGTTGCAAGCACTTCCATGGACTACGATCTCCCCTCCACACACACTAGGATTGAAGAAAAAGGATTAATACCACAGCTCCCCGTTTCTTTCTAGAATAGGATCACACCACCTTCTTGCAGTGAGCACAGGAAGCCTGGGTTCTAAACAATTGCATCAGGAATTCAGTCATCAGCCAAGTAGACCTTCTGCAGCCTGAGCCCAGTTGTGGGAAACGGTCCTACCAAACAGGTGAAGGAACTAGTCCTCCAATGACATGGATCTGGAGAAAAACACGCTCACACGGGGCTAGAATATAAGCCTAGTGCAGCCTTTTTTAAAAATAACATGGAGTTCTTTAAAACCTAACAGAGTAACAACCACTCTAGACCCATTTCCAAAGGAACTTGAACCAGTTGTGTTAATAAATGGCTGCATGCCCATCGCTGTTCCAGAATCCACAGGAGCCAGGATGAGGGAACATATGAAGCGGCTTCTAGATAAGGAGACTCCTCCCAGCAGCAGGGCAGTCACTTACTCCCCTGAGAAACTACTTCCAAAATGCACCTGCTTGGGGGCTGGGGATGTGGCTCAAGCGGTAGCGCGCTTGCCTGACATGCGTGCGGCCCGGGTTCGATCCTCAGCACCACATACCAACAAAGATGTTGTGTCCGCCGAGAACTAAATAATAAAACATTAAAAATTCTCTCTCTCTCTCTCTCTCTCTCTCTCTCTCTCTCTCTCTCTCTCTCTCTCTCTCTCTCTCTCTCTCCTCTCTCACTCTCTCTTTAAAAAAAAATGCACCTGCTCAGAGGTCAACAGGTGGCTGATATTTTCTAGATGCTCAAAAACCTCAGATGAGCCAGGTGTGGGATGCTCATGGCAGGCAGAGCCAAAACAGGTCCAGGAAAATATCACAAAGGGCATGAGACCCCTGGGACATGCAGTCCATAGAGGGGACACTCATCCCAAAGACATTCTGACCAGGGGGCTAGCCTGAGAGAGAAATGGAGAATGCACATTCACACACACATGCACACTCATATTTTTACTGAAAATGGGGACAGGGGACTTGAATTTGAGGAATCATTGTTACATATGTACAGACTTCGTCTGGGAGATGGGGTTCTGCATCTGAAATTTTGCTTCCCCCACATTTAGAACATTCAGGGGGACCCAGGCAGGAGGGCCACACCTGTAATCCCAGCCACTCGGGTGGCTCAGGCACAGGTTCTAGGCCAGACTCAGCATCTGTCTCAAGATGAATAATAAAAAGTAGGAGGGATCTAGCTCTGTGGTAAAGGAGCTCTGCGTTCAATCCAATATGCACCCCAAGCCCCCAAAAAGAAAGCAAAACTCAGGGGAAAAAACTGAGAACTCTGCAGATCCCAGCCCCCTTGGGTAGGAAAAGGGCCCATGGAGTAGTGATTCTCAGGGTCACCACACTCTGAAATCTACCACAGAAGAAATTCAGGGAGGAGACTTGAGCTACCAATTTGTCCAGGAGATACCCATGTGTTCTATAATGAGAATAAAAAGAATCCAACATCTTTAGAAATCTGAGAAATGTAAAATAAAACCCTATCCAAAATTAAATAGTATCAATGAAGATAGGAAACAAAAGAATTCTAATAAACTTAAGGAGTTTAAGTGCTTCTTAACTATTTGTGGAAACTGTTTGGCCATTAAAGACACTTGATAGTCCCCCACGGGAGTGGAGGTACTGAAATCAGTTCATATGACCAGGATAATACATTAATAATCATTGTACATTCAGCTTAAAAATAGTATAAAATATCATGAGTAAGTTTTATAGGGTGCCATATGCATGTGGTATTATGTATAACTATGATGCACTAATAAACAATCCAGCATGCTTTACTCTTAATGGAAGCATCCAGTCCTAAAATTCATCCACAGTTAAATATATGTAAACTTAACCAAGAAAAATTGAATTATAACAGCAAAAAATTATAAGAGCAAAAAAAAAAAAAGAAGTCATTACCTAACATACTCATTGAGAAGCTGTACTGTTACAATTGACAAGGAGGAATCACGACATAAACAAACTCCACCCATGAACCCATGTGGATGTAAAAATCATACACTTAATTGCAGTGGAAAAGTCATTATCAATCAAAACCTAACCAGGCCACCCTCAGCAACTTAGCTAGACCCGCGTTCAGAATAAAAAGTAAAAACTACCAGGGACAGAGCTGAGTGGTAAAGCACCCTTCTGTTAACTACCAAAACAAAACAAAACAAACAAACAAAAATAAACAAATAAACTCCACAAAACTAGCTCAGGAATAAGCGAGATCCCTGTTCACTGCAGCTCCCTTCCTCCAGGAAAACGGGGTTTGAAGATTTGATTTTTTTTTGGGGGGGGGGGGTACCTGGTATTGAACTCAAGGGCACTCTACCACTGAGCCCCATCCCCAGCCTATTTTGCATTTTATTTTGAGGCAGGGTCTCACTGAGTCTCCAAGTGCTTCGCCAAGCTGTAGAGGCTGGCCTTGATCTCGCAGTCCTTCTGCATCAGGCCCCACCCCCAGTCACTGGGATGACAGGTGTGTGCCATAGCCAGGCTCAGAGATTGGAGTTTTCCAGTGATCAACCTGTCAATCACCACAGCCCAGGAGGACACCAGGCAGCCTCGCTCACCTGTCAGATAGATAGGACTCAGCAAGGGCATAGGCTGCAACTGGGGATGGGGAGGCTGCGAGGGGTCTCCACCACTGTCACACTCCTCACCTGGCTGGCCAAGGGGCTGATGGGCGCTGTCCCCAGTGGGTTCAGGCCTGTGGTCTCAGAGAGCACCCAGAGTCAGGGTCAGCCAGCTCGGGTTCCCGCCACAGCCAGTCCCACCGGATGGCCTCCCTGCAGAACCTCCCTCCTGAACCTCCCTGTCCAGGAATCAGG